TCTTGTCCAAATCCTACCATAAGTTGCTCGTATGATTGCTCCAGACTGCAGATGTGTTACACGCTGGGGTGCTTCCGGAATCGACTCGGGATTATCCTGTGTCGATGTCCCTTTGCTGGTCATATTAATGGTGACCCTAGAAAATTCTCCATCTTCAACTACTGTTATTCTTTGTCGGAAACGCCTAGGCCTTGGTTTTGGCGTTTCGGTACCGAGCCTTTCGAAAACCGAAATTCTTTCGGGGACTGTCTTGATGCAGTTGCACTCAGACAATACTGCCCGAATGAGTTTGGAACAGGGGCATTGAGTTTCTAGTTCTCGAGGACTCCTTTTCCTGGTTTTACTCATACTCCCAACATGATAGTACAACTCGTCGGCTTGAAGGTTGGAGTAACCCATCGTGTGTTGGCACGACTTCTCAGGTATAACGTTATCATTATCAGACGATAATGTTTCCTTCTGAGGGCGAACTGCCTTCTTTGGGCTTTCAAGAGTCACGCGCCTCGAAACATGCCTTTGTGGGCGTGAGTTCTCAGCGGGCTCCTGGACTTCAATGCGCAAATTGGTGCGCGTAGCTGCCATGAACTCCTTGTCATGTTGAAGGTGGCAGCGACTCCCAGCATGTTGAGTCGTTCGGGGCTTCTTTATTGGACCCAAACGTTCTTGAACTTTGCATCCCTCATCGGGAAGTGGACCGAGGCGCTCCAAAACTGACTTCTTTCTTCGGGATGATTCTGCGGGATCTCTCGGAGTACCTACTGGAATTACCGGTGATTTAGGTTGGTTCGCCGGAGGTTGAACTTGCGTTGAAGGCTACAATGATTGTTCCTTAGCCTGAATCACCGCTTTAGACTTCGACCTCCATACTTAGCGGATTGGTGGCGGCTTCTTGGCCACTTCCTTCTGCAGTCTTCTGCGGGCATCTTGGACTTGAGCCCGTGCATGCGCTAACAGTGCGTGGTGCTTGCGAATGCGCTATTCTAGTGTCGAACGATTCCATTTGACACGGATCCATTCGTTCATTGGCGGCTTGGAGGAGCTGCCATTCATCAGTTGTTGAGGCTGTTTGCCTCCCCTGTTCTTTAGATTCGCGTTATAGCAGATCCCATCAGTGGATTCTATTGCCTTCGCGAATTGTCGTGCCAAGCATTAACGTCGCCTCTGGTGGGCTCTCTTTGAAAGAGTCACTACTCCCTCAGTAACGGAGGAATTGGCAAGAACAGACTTGACCTGGTTGGAGGTCGGTGGAGCTTCACCCGATGCAACTTTGGCATCAATTGGGGTGAGATCTTCGTTGGTATTCTGCACTTCTTCGTACCAACGGACTTTTCTCCTAGAGGAGAACTTCTTGGACTTGAGGGGGGAGGTTGATCCGGACGAGGATGATAGATACTCCTTGAACTTTTGTTGGTCGAATTCATACTCGACCTCCTCCTCGATCGCGGGAAAAATTATTTTCATTGATGTTATTGTTTTCTTGAGCAACAGTTTATCGGTTACAAAAGATCTGGTCTTTTTATAAGATCCGGTAATAACAAAATCAAAAAAAAATCTTAAAAGATTACAACTTTTCTTTTCTGGAACAAATCACAAGATCCTGTTTTACGGTCTCTTGCTTGTGTGGGTTCTTTGCCTGCGCCGGGGTTAATCCGTGGACCACTGCGCGATCTTGATCCGATCGGATCTACACGGTATGACAAGTGTTATTTCACGAAGGAAATAACAGCCAAGGGGATTATTTCACCAAGGAAATAATAGCCCTAAGTAATCAAAATCGACCAAGCGAAATCGATACTCTTCTCGGGATCAAAAAACTAAGTTTTGATCCATAGGATGACTGTGTGGATCTCAGATCTGATCTTTCTCGAACTCCTGTGTTATTTGACGTGGATGATCGCCAAGAACTAAATCTGAAAAGTCCGACTCTTCAAAGCTCCAAAACTCCGAAGTTTAGCTCTTAATCCAGCAGAGTTTTCACCTCAAAAGTTCAACCAAAAATCCAACCTCTTAAATAATGAGCCTTCAAGTCTATTTATAGGAACCTCAAACCAGATCTGGGCTCAGATCTGAGCCCAGATCTGGGCTCAGCCACCTAGGTGGCACTTGGTGGCTCGGCTAGGTGGCTCGGTGAGTCGGCTAGGTGGCTCGGTGAGCTACCTAGGTGGCTCGGTTTTAGCCGAGCCCTCTAGGTGTTTGCTTTTTCGCCCGTTTTCTAGTTTCGCGGTTTATCTGAACTTCATTGTTGATCTGGACTCTGATTTGGCAGTCTGGATCCTGATTTGACAGTAAATCCACTTTGGTGTTCGAGTTCGAGTCCACTCCCGATCTTGTTTGATGTGGTGGACTCTACGGTTGGATGACTTGTTGATTTATCGACCCGTTATCTTGATTGGGCACGCGATTGGATGTATTCCGTTATTTGCGAGCGGTTTGTTAACCTCGTCGCCTCATTAATCCACTTCGTCGCGTGTCACTTGGCTTCGGTGTTGTGGTCTAACGATCATGCTTCGATATATCGCCCGATGGTTCGTTGGTTTGTCGAATCACCGTGCCGAGCTGTGTTAAGGGACCTATAAGCAGTTTTATACGCCTAGACCTGTACGCAGTTCGAGACAGAGAGAAGATGATAAACGTAATTATCCAAATCAAGGAGGATTATCTGATGCCAATAAGCGCATGAAGCGAATCGACGAACCATTGATGATGTAGCAACAAGCTACCAGAATGACAAAGCAAGGGACCGCGTGCTCATCAGCCACCTCCAAGTGGCCCGCACGCTCATCAGCCACCTCCAAGTAGCCCGCGCCCTCACCGGCCACCTCTAAGTGACCCGCATGCTCACCGGCCACCTCCAAGTGGCCCGCGAGCTCACCGGCCACCTCCAAGTGGCCCACGCACTCATCAGTCACCTTCAAGTGGCCCGCGCGCTCGTTAGCCACCTCCAAGTAGTCCGCACGCTCATCAGCCACCTCCAAGTGGCCCTCGCGCTCACCCCGGCCACCTCCAAGTGGCCCGTGTGCTCATAAGCCACCTCTAAGTAGTCCACGTGCTCACCGGTCACCTCCAAGTGGCCCGCACGCTCATCAGCCACCTCCAAGTAGCCCGCATGTTCACCGGTCGCCTCCAAGTGTCCTACGCGTTCACCGGTCACCTCTAAGTGGCTGACATGCTCATGAGCCACCTCCAAGTGTCCTGTGTGCTCATCAGCCACCTCTAAGTGGCATGCGCACTTGTCAGCCACTTCCAAGTTAACAAAATGCATAAAACGAATCGGTGAAGCATACAAGTCTGTGAAACGATGAAATGCGTATAACCACAAAACAAGTCCAACCAGGAAGACCGGAATAGCCCATGGCAGCCGAGTTGCATCAAAACGACTCGGTCAGAGCCAGGT